GAAGGCCACACAGCATATAATTGATGAGATTGAGAAACACTGCACTAAAACATGTCATACCTTTCTGAATATGAACTTCACTGGTTTATACTTCGCAGTGTACAAGGAACAACTCCAAAATGCAGAGGTAGGAGGGGGGAGAAAAGAGTGGAAAGTTTAAGTGAGGTATGAAGAGCCAAATAGATTGTTTGTTTCCAAACTTCTCTTAACTTGTCACAGTGATCCTAATAAGCCAAATGCTGTCATGCATACTATTATTTTCAGTTTTATTCTGAATATTATGTAGTAGTGAGAATTCCATAGCCGCATTATACAATTTGAGGTGTAAGCATGGGTTGAGGAACAAAATTGCTAAATTTTCCATAATGAAAGTATCTGTCTGTACAGCAAAAGAGAGATTAACATGCAGCTATTTTGAAGAACCCCTTAGGTCTCTCCAAGGGTTCTCTTGGCAATCTTGCAATCCTCTACAATGATAAATAGATTTCTGTAACACACACACACACACACACACACCCACTCACTAAAAGATATGTAACTTTCATCATTCTTTCTTGACTTAGGCTTAGTTTTATCAGCACTTAACAGCTGAATTGTCATCTTTAGCTTTTTTATTACCACCCAACAATTTCCACAATGGTAAAAAGAACTTGACAAACACACACACTTTTCCAGCCACTCCAAAGGCTATAGGTATATTATGGGTCACTGCCCAGCACCAATCACAATCAGTGATGTGACTGGAGGGTGGTTTTGAATAGACCCCACAGATTTAGACATCTCTCAAAACTTGCTCCAGGCTCCTATGGGCTTGCTCAGGCAAAGAAGAGTGAGGTTTGACAGAGCTCCCCTTAGCCTGTACAAGCCTGATCAGCTATTTAAAAAAGTTTTACAATCTTTCTCTAAATTGCTTGTGAATCCCCGGGGACTGCAGTCCATAGTTGCAACAGTTTGTGAATGTCTGGATTACATTTTAGGGTCACCTTACCACCTACATCAGGTTATGGAAAAGAAATAGAAATTTTGCCTTTTTCTTAGTAGTCATCTAACAGTCTTTCCACCAAAATATTGCAGAGGAAATGCTAAGATTATAACATTAAAAATTACTACCTGAATATTCTTGTTTTCCTTTCTCCCCATGATCTTATTCCTTTGATGTCATTTCTTTTTAGCGTGTAAGCTTGGAAGGCAGAACAGACTTTTTATTGATTTGCAAGCCACACTGGGAGCCCTTCCAAGTGAAGTGCTGGCATGCTCTGAATAAATAATTCCAGAGTTTCCAACTGGCACATTTATAAAACAATTCTTATTGGCTTATTTAATCAAGGAAACCTTTTAGATTTTTAAGTCAAGTGAGGGACTAATACTTTTATTACCATTTCTCCACATCTGTAATCACAACTTCCAATTATCTTGGCTCACTTTTAGAGCACAAAGAAAAAACTAATTCATTTTCATAAAAACAGATGCCATGTATACCAAACCTTTTTGAGCAGATGACCACATCTGGAATAGAGAGATCATGTTATGAACACTCTTTCAGGATTACTGTTGGGGGCCTTCCCATTCACAAAATGACTGCCAGTACAACCACTCACAAAACACCAATTTACCAGAATGCTACCTAGCATCCCTGCTTCCCAGAGGATGCTCCACACACCCCACTTTATCTTTGTACTTTTACTGGACAGGTCAGTACACTTCTAGAAAAAGCAACCATCCATTTTTATTTTCTAAAGAATTCCCAGGAGCAGTCTTGAAAATGATGGTGCTAGAGGCTGACACTCTGCTTTGTTACAGGCCAGCTTCACTTTGTTTGCTTAAACTTTTTTTAAAAAATGTAAACAGTCAGAGACAGAAGACAGCCTAGTGGCACCAAAGAAAACATCTACAGGCACACTGGCACTCCAGATATAAGCATGATCCCTGACATAAACATATATAATTCTAAGTCAATTTCTTAAATCACTGGCTACTGAATACGGTAAACAACTGCCTGGGTTGGCCCAAGACACTCAGCCATACAGTTCTGCTTACAACCCCCAGTGGTTGGGCTCACACAGTGTGCTAAAATAAAACCAAACAAAAACATGTGTGAAAATAAATGGAATGCTAAGTAAATGGTTCAATCCCAAGTAGGGAATAAAACAAGGATATATGAGATCTCCTTGATTGTTTATTTTATGGATACTTGTGTAATAAATACTTACGGTGACATTACATATTATGTATGTTCAAACAAAAATATGTATTTACTTTTTCATGCAGATGCTGAACTGCGGCTGCCTGAGAACCAATATGATTTACAACATTAGATACACAGTATAATAAAACAAGGAGTATGGACCTAAAAATCAGTGTATCAAAGATCAAGGTTGTAGCTTGAAAGAGAAACCACAGTGAATGATTTCAAGTTATACATAAATGAAAAATTAAATGTATTCACATACTAGTAGACTAGACTAGAATGTTTACTAAAGATAGAAAAATGAATGAGGAAATGTTAATGTGGTTAGACCACAGAAAATGGATGAGGAACAAATGCAAAGCATATCTATGAAGGAAGAGAAAATGGGTTGAGAAGACAGAAAAGACCAAGAAAATAGTGGTTAGAGGGAACTGTTGAGATCCTCCAAAAGAGAGAGGTGAGAAGTTTAAAGAACAAAAGGCAACGTATAAAGCAGAGTACAGATATGGTGGTTGCAAGAATAGAAAGCAGTGGAGAAAGAGAGATCACAGAATCATAGAAGCAGTGAATGATAACTAAATTTAGAGTTCTTTTTCTTTTATCTCCTGCATTTAATTTCTTTTCCTTATTATTTTTTTTGGGGGGGGGGACTTGTTCTTTGCATACCTATACCAAAAGAGAACAGCACACTAGATTTGCATGTGTGAGATTTCCAAGACAGAGTCTAAGATCAAGAGTAGCTTTGTAAGTCATATGAGACAACAAATGTATATATGAAAACTTCAGATCAAGCAATTCTGTAACTAGGAAAAAGCTTACTAAAGGAATTATAGACATGATAGAAATACTATTTTACCAATGAGTGGGCACTTCTGTCATGGAGGACTTCTTGTCCAGTAGTAAATTAAAGCACGTTTAGTAGCAGAACCTTTCACAGGTGTGCCAGGCACAGCCTTAAATGTATAGGATCTAAATGCCATGATGATGATGATGATGATGATGATGGTTGGTCGCACAATCAGCCAGATGTTTAGGCTGGATTTGGCATCAAGTCCCTCAAGAACCTGGGATAGGCAGATGTTGTTGCTTGATGATGTTAAAGGTATCATCACAAGATATAAGCTGTTCCAAGTAAAGCTGCCTTTTGCCATTATTATTATTATTATTATTATTATTATTATTATATTTTTATCCTTTTTTTAAATTTGGTCAACTCAAGATGGTGAACATACTTAATACTTCTATTTTCCCCTCAACAACAACCCTGTGAGGTGGGCTGGACTAAGCGAAAGTGTCTGGCCCAAAGTTACCCAGCCAGCTTTCATGACTAAGAGAGGCCTAGAACTCAGTCTCCTGGTTTTTAGGTCAGCACCTAAACCACACCAAATTGGCACTCTATCCCCCAACATGCCAAGAACTATTCTGCTCCTGAAGCTAACATATTTATTTTCCCACTCACTGGCACCAAAGGAAAGATATAAAGAAATAAACCTTCCGCCTTGGCTTCCAGAAGTCTACCCAGCATCAGAACCCATACTGGTTCCACCAGGTATTCTCTCCAAAACAGCCTCTGTAGAACTACTACAGTCCTACAGACAGTTTATAATTATTGGACCCAATTACACCTATTTCAGAGTAATCATCTACATAGTTAGGCTGTATCATGGAACCTTCTCATTTCCATCTGGCTGCTTCTGCCAGTACATAAGGATTTAAGAATAGTCCTACTGGATCGGGCTAAGACCCATCTTAGTCCAACATTTTGTCCATCACATGCCTCTGGGTTTCTCATAAACAACAGATGGAGACACACACACACCCCATCCCACCACAGAAATAACATTTAGTCTTCAAGCCTACAGGCTTGTTCTCCACCTTTTAAAGCCATCCAAATTAATAGCCATCAGAGGCTTATTTTGAAGCAATTCACATTAAACTGCTGGGAGAGGAACAACTGGATAGCCTGTTTTCATTTTTCTCTGAACAATTCACGACATTGCAAAAGGGGTGCTCGCTATTTAATTTGCTCACAAGGCTAAAACTGGTTATATTCACACAACATGCTTACCCATAATTAACTTTACTGAATTAACCCACATGCATAACACACCACACCATATTCAAACCACACAGGCTAGATTTTCACAATGTATGTAGGCTTCAGCATGGTGGGCTAGTTTGTGAATAGGAATATATATATTAAAAAAGCAACTGAATACATACAGTGGAAAAGTTAGTTTTCTCTCCAATCTAAGTACCTTACTAGCTCACTAGTAGAAACCATACCAGATACCTTCCGCTGTGAGGCTAATATCAGTCAGGAGTAGTACCGGTAATATGGAGCGATTATATTCACCCCCAAGACAAGCATTCCAATGCAACAGAGTTCTCCATAAACCTGTTATATCTTACCTAGCTTCTCCCTCAATTCAATTGCTTCAGAGGGAGTACTTTTAAGCCTGACTGCAAAAACACTATTCAAACAATACAACAGCAATAAAAGACAAATTATGGTTATACACACACACACATACAGCAAATAGAGGACCGGTACCGTGTAAGCAAACAGCTCAGATATATAGATATCTGCATATAAATCATGGTATTAATATTGGGCTAGTGACAGACTCGCCTGCGTGTAAAAGAGAGACAGGGAGGTTTCTTGCTAGCAGCCACTCCGTTCCAGCTCCGGCACGCCCCGATTCATTCTTTGGCGGAGATTTTACGGCGGCCGCGGCGACCCGCCACCCCCCCACCCCCCCCCGACGCTCCACAGGTAGACAGGCATTCGCCTCCCACCCCATTTCCTCACCTCCACGCGAAGGGTGGCGCCGCATGCTCGAAGGAACTCGCGGATATTGCTCAGGCACTCGCTCTCGGTGCGCGGCTCCGGGTAAACCTGCAAGGAGAAGGCGAAGCGGCTCAAATCAGATCGGGCGCTGGGCTCCAACGGCGGGAAGGGCGCCCGGGAGGAGCCACCCCGGACTCACCTTTATGGGCAACTCTCCCCTGTAGTCCCATTCACTCCCCTGCTTCTCCCGTTCTGGGCTTCACTTGAAAACAGCGTTTGATTTGCTGTGCCCGTGACGGGAGAGGTGAACCGGGAAGTAAACACGAAGGCAGGAAATGGCGTGTGAAGAGGACGAGGGAAGTCCCTGTCCACCCACCCCGGGTGATTTTCCCTACTGTCTCTCTCCCTCGTCCCTAGCCGATGGATGCTTCCCATCCTAAGGACCGTTTGGTTAAGAAGTAGCACGCCTATGAGTTTCGGGCCACCCGGGAAAAGAAGGCAGAGAAGTTTGCTCGCGCGCCCCTTTTTTGCAGCCGCCGCTGCCGGGGGGGGGAGGAGCGGGGAGAAACTAAACACGGTTGCAATGGGAAGCGGTTTGTTTCTCTCCGGAACTGCCCCCCCCTTTCTAGACAGGCTCCTGCGCTTTTAACGAGTATGAAATCTTTTTTAGGCAACGGTTAACACCTGGGACGATGAAACAGAAGTTCAGTCTTATAATTCTCCTGCAGAACAAGAAGGCTCCGCGATGGCGTTATTTCTTCAGGTCTTTGTCCTCGGTAGTACCTGGGCTTGAAAGCGTCACCTAAACGCCATCAGGTCTACGACTGCCCTGTACCAAAGCGCCCAGCACCCACTAACGCAGAGGTCACCGTAAGTTCCAGCCAGCCAGCCAGCCAGCAGTGGTGCTTTCATAGCAAAACATACACGTGACTCAAGTAAATAATGAAGCAAAGTCTTATTCTGCAAAGGAAACCAAGAGCCCTTTATCACTAGCTTCTGTAACAATCTGCCAAACCTCAGGCCTACTTCAAGAGATTACAGTATACCAAGTTGAAATGTCTTCTACTGCTCTTCTATGCTCCTCCCACTTAAAAAATACTTTTTTCTAATACTGTACATAGAATCTGTTATATTGCCCTCTGGAACATTCTCCCTTCAGAGATTAGGATGGCCCTGACCCTGTTGGCCTTTCTAAGGCCTTGAAGACCTGGTCATGTGCCCAGACCTGGGGCCCAAGTGTGTTAGGGCTCCATTTCTTGGTTATATTAACATCTATGGTTATAATCTTCCTCAGTTGCTATATACATACTTATTTTTTGTACTGTGTTTGTACTTGGTTTTAGTTGATTTTATGTTTGCCACATACAGTCACTTGCTTGAGATGGATGGCCATAGAAATTGAATAAATAAATATAAATAAATAAATGTCCTGCACTACAGAAAGCATATTAAATAGGAGAAATCTGTTTAAACTGGAGTTGAGTAGGAGGATAGTCCTGTTGCATAGCATAGCATTTTGCTATCTTCAAAGCTGAAGGAGAGACAGTGTCAGTTTTCAAACCTATGTCAGTTTCAAGGTACAGTACTAAAACACTGAATATATACTAGATTTACAGGTTGTGCTGCATCCTCATAACATTGCCTTCATCTTGTCCCCATGAGTGAGATAGCTTTAAGACATCCCAAATGGAACCAGGGTTAAAAATAGCATTTTCCCCCTTATGTCAACTGCATCCAAAAGCATCCTCTGTTAACTTGGAGGGAAGTTAAGTGAGTGCCAACAATTGGGAACAGAAGCAATAAAGGCAGGATAGGAATTGGCAAATGTCAAGCCTCCATAATTTTTTGTTGATTCAAAGATGGGTAGAGAGCACTATAATTTTGGAGTAGGGAAATGTCTATGGAGATTTCCATATATTGTTAAAACTGGTTTTTAAAAAGATGAAGTGTACATTACAGGTGTCCATATTCTGGGTCATTTATTTAAATCATTTTCTATTAAGCTTCTGATGTTAAGCATCTCTCTCTCTCCATACACATGCATGCACATACACATGGCCCCTACCTAATTGTGGGATGGTTTAGAGAGATTCTGCTGAATATGAGTCACAACATTCACAAAATGTGACATCAGAATTATTTGCCACTTTTTAGTTCATTTGCAGTTGCATTCCTCTGTCCTATTAGCTCTCATCTTTAGCTACTCCCTATATAAATTACTATTTTCAAAAGTAGGCAACACTTTTACAATGCAGCGGAGTCCACAGGGAGGGTTAAAAGCTCTCATGAAAGCAGCATGACACTGTGACACAAGCCCCATCTGTTTTATATTTTCATGGACCCATGCCAATTTTGTGATGTGTCGCACTATGGAGGCAGCAAAATTTAGGGAGGCCTGATTTCCTACAGGCTCCAGGATGAGAAAGGACTATGGCAAAGCAGTAGTGTGGATATGGCTTAAGACCACTTTATGTAAAACATACCTACTTCTCCAAATAATTTATTTTGTTCACACTTCAAAAATAATTTGGAAGAAGTGCTTCAGAACTCACATGGGTGCAAAACACGTCTTTTATACAAGTCTTCTCAAAGATGCGGCTGTTTTCAAAGTTTCTTAATGCTTGAGAGCTGCCACATCTATTTCCAAGCTTGTATAGAACCCTAAAAAAAAGGCATGGCTGCAGAGAGATGCTATGTTTACACTTGTACAATTTCCAAAGTTTCTACCAAATAACTTTTGAAGCATGCACAGCCCTAATCTATTCAGACCATCTGGATCTTTTTTTGTATTCATCAACAACATATAACTCTAGCAGGGAGAAAACATATTCCATCAAGAGAAACTTCTTTTTATACCTTAAAATTCATTCTATGATCAGTTTTTCAGTTCACACGCAATCTCACATGTTAGAGAAGCATGGCACTCCAAAATGTTTGGATTCAGCCAGGAAAGCTTTGCAAAATTGTGGAATTCTTCTGTTTAACTGGACAGAAAAGAATTATTACATGCATAAAAAGTAATCTGGTTGCAGTATTTAGGGCTACAAAATATTTGGGCTACAAAAAAATGAAGGACCACTAGACGGAAGCAAAACAACACTTTTTTCTGTATCTCTGATGTCTCCTAGTGTTCATCTGGATTTTTGCAGCCTATTTACAATAGCCCTATGTTAACTGCATTTACATTTTGTAATTTACATGTGAGTTTACTTTTTGCCCCAGCCTTTCTGCTTTTGGACGACCATGTCTAAAAAGCCAAAGTGTGTCTTTGGCCTGAGAAAAAAAAAATTGCTCATCTCAAGCCATGGTTTACTTTATCATGCTTTATTACAGTTAAATATTTTATTGGGCAAAATATGGTAGTCTGAATTCATCAAACAAAAGCAACCAAGCATATGCCTGATAAGCCACTCTTGCCAGCTTCATACACCATGCTAAGATATAACCCATGGGTACAAACCAAATCAAATTATATTATGGCTAAGTGTAATTTACAAAACTAGCCTGCAGTTGAATCTTTTCCTCCATGGCCAAATTAAAAAAAAAAAATCTTATTTCAAACCTAGCATATCAGACAATTTACCTTCTTCCAACCTCTATTTTTCTATATTCAAGATTTGTTTCCTATCGTTTAATCCCAGATCTTCAGTTGAATATACAGTTTATATAACACACAAAATATGCTCCTTTTAAATAAGGTATTGTCGACTGATTCAGAAAATCAATGAGGAAAGTTTCAAAACGCAAGATAGGTTTAGTTTGAGACATAATACATTTGAAAGGATGGAACATTCAAGCAGAAAGATACAGTAAGTCAGGAACTTGGAGATTCATAATTGGATGGATTGGAGAAAATTCCTGGGTAGAGCTGAATGTTTCTTTATCTGCCCAATCTCCAGAATTCTCAGCATATAGCTGGTAGGGACAACCATGGAATTTGTTGAGGTCATTTGACAGAGAAAGGAGAAAATGGAAAAACCATCTAGACAGGCATGTTCACATGACTCCCCAAGCCTAATCTGGTACTACAGACTTACTCAGTATTCTGAGAATTATCTGATTCAAGAAACTGAAGACAGAACAGCAGCACCTATTTTGTTGGGATCCTGGCCCTGAGGCTATCACTTCCTAGTGTTTGCTTACTTCCTTGTTTTCAAAGGGTTTTTAAATTTTTTTTAAAATCTTGGCTAAAAAAACAGACAAGACAGAGAGGCAGGAGTCAACAAACATTTCAGGCACGGAGTGATCATGCAATTTCATTGCTCACCAATCCTCTAAAATAAATACATCAATGGGCATGGGCTGCAATCTTGTAAACAGCCATCTCACCACCTTAGATCTTATGTAATCCCAAGGGTTCTTCCCTGAATTCTCATGAAATGGAGTGCTGGAATCTCATGTGATTTGGTGATTTTGCAAGGTTGGGACAATTTCATTTATTTTTTATTTAAAGTTGGGATTAGAGCATGACATCCAGAGGTGTTGTCACCACCATGCTGCCAAACCCTGTGATTAGACAAAGCAGCAGCAGCAACCAAAGGGAATTTAAGATGGCAGGAAGGAGCCCATTGATGAAATTGAAGGTTTCATGGTTAATTATATGGTTAATTATAATGCCCAGTACACAAGAGACAACAAAAGCAGTTGAACTGGAAAGAGATGCCCTAGTTGCAGCGTTTTCTACTCGTCAACTGCTTTATAATACATAGGAGTGTTGTATACCTAGTTTATTTCCCAATGAAAGTTGGGAGGTGAAGGTACTACCATCAGACAGTAAGTTGCCACTGAATTTCAGGGGTGCAATTTTGATGGCTCTGGAAGCCACAAAACAGAAACCGGGCAAATACCCATGACCCTTTGACTGCCTACCTAAGCCATACTTTGTTTTCACCAAGCTCTGTTGAATAAGCCACGATAGCTGGGTTCATACATAAGGCTAAGTCATAAACCGTGACTAACACATTGCAATGGATAGTTATACATTGTGCTAAGCCAAAGTCACATGATTTAGTACGATAAGGAAACTTAAATGGTGGCTCCAAAATTATCTACAGTAGAGGTCAGCTAACAGGTGAAATTTTGCCAACAGCTACAGTAGAACTGCAGTC